ATTTCTTTTCAGAGAAAGGAGGTTCTGCCATTATACTACCAAGCTGCGACAAGCAGGTAGGACATAAAATACTCACAAGGTGCTTATTATTGTGACTACCTGTGAACTGCATGTTGCAAGCAAGCTCATTAGAGTTGATCTTTTACTGTTGACGGAATGCAGAACCCCATTTTCAAACTCTATGCAGCTCATCGCAGAGTGCCCCCTCCATTTCTTTTGTAAAGCGAACAAGGGAACAATACCCTAAAATGCACTTTATAGACAAATAAAAGGAACGCCTGGATCAGCAGAATGTGTTGGGCTTCTGTTTAATTTGTGCCCCCAAGGCTCCACCATTTATTACAGCAGAGCAGGCAGATCTCCAGTCATCAACCTGGCTCCTATTATGGTTTAAGGCGGGGATGGGAACCAGGAAGGAGGGCACCCTGTTGGTTCTCCTGCATTTCTCACTGGGTTTTGATACCACTAACTGGGTTACCACAAAGGGGTGGAACTAGGTGGGGGGGGGGAGCACAGAGGTTCTCTAGAGCTGAACTCATTCCCAAGAGATGGGATTGAGAAGATGGTGCTGAGGAATGTTGCTCTTCACTTTGGCCAGTGGCCTATGACTCCATCTTGCCCCACATGCTGTTTAACATTTACAAGAAACTGTTGGGTGAAGTCATCCAGAGATTTGGGTTGTAGAGTCATTGGTATGCAGGTGACACCAAATTCTATGTCTGATTTCCATGTGGTCCTACCAAGGCATTTGAAAGGTTGAGCCATTGTTTGGTAGCAGTGAAGGGCTGGATTAGGCAGAACAGAAACATACAAGTCAGACAACATTTGGAGGACCACATTCCTGATTTAACAGGTGCCACAATATAATATTAATAAATAATAATAATAATAATAATAATAATTTATACCCCGCCCTTTCCAGTTCAGAGAACTGGGCTCAGGGCGGCCAACAACCAATTTAAAACACTTAATTGTAATACAACATAAAAGCAGCATAAAGTACAGTAGAAAAGCATGAATGACAATAAAATTAAAAGTTCAAAAATCAATTTGGGGGAAATCCATCTAATAAACATTAGATAGTCACCAGGGCTAGCTGGCTGAATTAGTCCTACTTGGGCCAGCGAGGAGGCCAGGGGGGAATTAGCTGGTAATCTTAATAAAAGGGGAGGGGGAGGGAAGAGAAGGGAAATAAAAGATAAAGCTGAATTCAAATTAAAAGCCAGGCGGAATAGCTCTGTCTTACAGGCCCGACGGAAGGAGGTTAAATCCTGAAGAACCGTAGTCTCATGGGACAGAGCATTCCACCAGGTCGGAGCCATCACTGAAAATGCCCTGGCCCTGGTGGAGGATAGTCTGACTTCCTTAGGGCCAGTGACCTCTAAACTATGGTTATTCATGGACCTTAAGGTCCTCTGCGGGGCATACCAGGAGACGCGGTCCCATAAATATGAGGGCCCTAAGCCACAGGCAATATGGGGAACGGAACAGACAGTGTTTAGCCAACCACAGTGAAGGATGCAGCGATCATCAGTGACATTTGTTTTGAAAATAGTTCAACCAAATTTGTATTCCAAATTGGGTCATTGTGAAGTTTGGTGTTGTAACTACAGATCAAATATCACAGATACAACTTCCATATCACTTCGAACCTAATACGTTTTGATGGAGCCCATTCACACATCCAGCTTCAAGTTATCAGGTTACCTGGTATTGATAAATCAAATTATATAGGTGAACAAATTAATTTATACATGAATATGGGCCCAATTCACCCAATGGTTACAATATACAAAGTTTAGTTTTCCAGCTTGTATGTAGCTTCAGTAACTTAAAGTTTATTTCCTTGTTTTTTGACAGAGACAGAGGGGTTAACTTGGAGAAGTGTCAGATAAAATAAATGTTCTTGTGTTAATGGTAATTTTATAGCTGTGGGATGATTATTTTCTTAATAAGACCGGGGGAAATCTAGTGTGTGTGAAGCTTCATAGCTTTAAAAATATCTATGTATGCTGAGTTACATGAGGCTATTTCTTTTGGGGACTCTTAATATCTAAGAGTTAGGTGCTCTTAGCAAATGTGATAAGCAGAACATTAGAAATAGTATATACTAACTTACGTTAGACAAATTAAATCAGGATTGGAATATATGTTGTTGGGGGAAGTGATATGCACACCCCTTGAGGTTTGGATAGGCAGTTAATGCTTCTATAATCATTGAGAGCATTCATAAAATTTGAACCGAGATGTTTTATAACACACAGCACAGATGTGAAAATATATGGGTGAGTCATTATTGTTCAGAGAAGTTTCATAAGACCATAAAAGAACTGCCCAAGGGAAGGATGCATCACCTGTGAGAATGGAACGAGACTCAGAGAAGCCATAAAAACGCATCCTCAATTTATTTTATGCCTCATACATGCAGGGTAGATTCTCCCCTCAGATCGTTGCTAGTGCTTCAGCAAAGACTCTATCATGAGTCCTTCTGCAGTATTGGCAAGATTACCCAGCTCGAGTCCTCCTGCTGTATCTGCAATCCTTCTGATCCCACTCAAATGTGAAGAATCACATAATCCAGTAGAGCCAAGGGAGCCCACCATAAGGGACTGATCTGGCTGATCACCACCTCTCTTAAGAAACCAACACCCAAGTTATACTGAGTCAGACCACTGACAAATTTAGTCCGCTCATGCTTACTCTAACTGGTAGTAGGGCTCCGATTATTCATGTCAAACCAGACAAGTGGGAAGTATGTGAATAGGGCCTGCTGGTATTTTAAAATGTGTTTTAGAATAGCCATGCTGGACACCAGTTTGAAGCACAGAGTACCTTTCTAGTTAAAATCACCCTACGAAGCTGACTAAGGGACGTGGGTGGCGCTGTGGGTTAAACCACAGAGCCTAGGACTTGCCGATCAGAAGGTCACCGGTTCGAATCCCCGCAATGGGGTGAGCTCCCGTTGCTCGGTCCCTGCTTCTGCCAACCTAGCAGTTCGAAAGCATGTCAAAGTGCAAGTAGATGAATAGGTACCGCTCCAGCGGGAAGGTAAACGGCGTTTCCATGCGCTGCTCTGGTTTGCCAGAAGCGGCTTAGTCATGCTGTCCACATGACCCGGAAGCTGTACGCCGGCTCTCTCAGCCAATAAAGTGAGATGAGTGCCGCAACCCCAGAGTCGGTCACGACTGGACCTAATGGTCAGGGGCCCCTTTACCTTTACCTATGAAGCTGACTTGGGTCTGTTCTGGTTCCATTCCTGAACTGCTAGATCCCCCTGAGGTCCGCACTGGACCAGCAGAAGAACCAAGTATTTTTGAAACAAAAAATGGGCAGCTCTAGCTGCCTTGTCTCCCTGCTGGAGGGATAGGATTCCTGGCCTTCAATTACAGTGGTGCCTCGCAAGACGAAATTAATCCGTTCCGCGAGAGTCTTCGTCTAGCGGTTTTTTCGTCTTGTGAAGCAACCCTATTAGCGGCTTAACGGATTAGCGCTATTAGCGGTTTAGCGGCTATTAAAGGCTTAAAGGCTTAGCGGATTAGCTGCTAAAAGGCTATTAAAGGCTATTAAAGGCTTAGCAGATTAGATAAGGGGGGGGGAGCGAAAAAAAAATCTCTAGACTCGCAAGACATTTTCGTCTTGCGAAGCAAGCCCATAGGGAAATTCGTCCTGCGAAGCAACTCAAAAACGGAAAACCCTTTCGTCTAGCGGGTTTTCCGTCTTGCGAGGCATTCGTCTTGCGGGGCACCACTGTATTTAAGTTCCACACTCTTACCTAGCTAACACCAAATGAACAGGAGACACACCTAGATGAAAACAAGAACCCTCCTCCGTCTTAACATGCATGCTTCATGTACATAATTCATAGAAATCAACCATGTTTTACATAATTGGGAAATCACTTGTGTGTTTATTAATTTATTTAGCATTCATAATACAACGACAATATTGCTGCAATGCTGTTCAACGTATTCTGGATTATGTACATTAAATCCATATAACTTCAGCTAATAATCTATTACACTGTGCTTATTGAGATCCCTGTCAATGTCCCTGATAGTAATGCCCCTTTTCAACACAACACAAATATAATTTCCTAATAAATATTAAGGATTTATTCAGACATCAAAAAATAAAAATCATTCCTGTGGATCTTACAGGCAGAAGAAAGAAATGTGTTTTTGACCTCTTGTGACGCTTGCCTTGCTTACGGCTGCCATCAAATAAGAAAGCAGGCTTGCATCTGGTGGGCCATTGTGACCTGGTATATTTGGTTCGAATCAAAGGCAATGAAAAGTGCACCATATTTTTGTGTGTGTAGATCTAGATCTATCTGCCTGGACTTGGGCCTATTAATTCTAAGAAAATGATACATAGACTCCTCTTGTCTTCATAAGGAAAACAGCATGCCAAATCCGAGAAATAGGATTTAATAGACAAATCCTAAGGGAGCAATCCTCTGCTGGTGTAAAGCAAGCTGGTGTGACTTAAGCTGATGTAAAGAAAGCTACACCACATCCAAACTCCACTCAACATCATGGCTACTGCTGGCAGAGCTGGCCTGGCAGAGGCAAAACAAACCTTTCATAAGATGTTTAAGTTACATCAGCTTTGGGGCAGGTTGCCAAACCACGTGACTGAGCTGCCAAAGCTTGGGATCCAGCTTAAGTTACCTCTCTCTTGCCACACCCTTTTCACAGACCTTATGCAAGCTTAAAATACACCACTTTAAAAGTGCTGATATTATTAGACACATGGAAGTCAGAGATATGGGATATCTATTAGTCTATCATCTACTCACCCCTTCCTTAAATGCTATATTAATAGATCTTGTATTTGAAGATAGTTTTAAAGATGAGCAGCTTCTAACCATGGTTTGTTCCTACTTTGAAGAACCTCAATATGCACCCAAGGTCATCAGAACAACAGTGACAAAACTTTAAACAGGATCCACTACACCAATGAAATGTTGGTCCCCACTTTTTGAGATGTATGGCCAGCTGTTACAAATCCTTCCCAAGCCTTTCAATTTCTTCCAAGAGAAAATCAACATCTGGTTTCTTGGTTGCTGGGTTAGAGAAGACCATTCTGAAAAAATTCACATGGTTCCCGTGAGGCTGATAACTAACCATTGTAGTACCTTCTTCTATCATCCTCGCTTTTATCTTTGGAGCAACCTAGACATGGATACATGTAAAAAATTGCAATTATGTTCTGGAATAATTTAGGGACTAGTTCCATGAATAGGCAGTAGCAATAGTCTGGATCTGTAGCAGAGTAGATATGATACTGTAATGTTTGGTTTTAAAGAAAGGATGGAACTCATTGGACATGTGAAAGAAGAAGAAGAAGAGTTTGGATTTGATATCCCACTTTATCATTACCCAAAGGAGTCTCAAAGCGGCTAACATTCTCCTTTCCCTTCCTCCCCCACAACAAATACTCTGTGAGGTGAGTGGGGCTGAGAGACTTCAGAGAAGTGTGACTAGCCCAAGGTCACCCAGCAGCTGCATGTGGAGGAGTGGAGACACGAACCTGGTTCACCAGATTACGAGTCTACCGCTCTTAACCACTACACCACACTGGCTCATCCAGAAGAAGAGCTTTATCAGGTGCTTTTAATATTTGGCAGGCATCCCCTCTAAATTCAGTATACCTGAAAGAGCGTCTCCACCACCATCGTTCAGCCAGGACACTGAAATCCAGCGCCGAGGGCCTTCTAGCTGTTCCCTCACTGCGAGAAGTGAGGTTACAGGGAACCAGGCAGAGGAAATAAACAACTATCCTACTTTTAAAAGACATCTGAAGGCAGCCCTGTTCAGGGAAGTTTTTAATGTATTGTAAGCTGTATTGTGTTTTTAATATTCGATTAGGAGCCACCCAGAGTGGCTGGGGGAACCCACCCAGATGGGTGGGTTATAAACATATTATTATTATTATTATTATTATTAGTTTTAGATGACAGCCAAACATTTTTTTCAGCAAACTTACACCCACATGTAATCTACTGAACTATTTTTGTTTCCAAATTTTTACTGGTTTCTCAATGCTTTAAACAGTAGCTATTTTTATGTATATGTGGGTTTTTGCTGTGTTTTAGTACAATTTTACTACACATGACTCTTAAGAGAACTATTTGATTCAGCAGTTTATAAATTTCTCTAAATAAAATAAATACAAGTATTGGAAACAAATGCAAAGAAAGGGCTTACATTATGAGACAATTATGAACAGCCCTTTTAAAAGGCTATCTAGTCACTGGTGCTGTAGCATGATTGGCTAAAACTTCCAAAGATGTAATAAACACAAGAGCTAGGACACTCTCAGGACTAAGCCATGGGCAGCAGCAGGAGGGAACCAGTCTCTAGGAATCAGCATCCAAGAGTTTCAGGGTTGAAGAATGCACCAAAACACATTTAAATATGTGTTTTAAGAGAACTGTGCCTTAGTATTCCTGAGAGGCTTTCCCTAAAATTGCAGATTGACATGGAAATGCAACAGAATGGAATTATAGATTTAAAAAATATGCAAAACTGCCACAGACCATCCTTAGTTCTGGTGTGTAGATGAAAGAAATTGGGGTCTGCAACAGATCTTCACAACAACAGCATTGGTGTTCCTATTTCTGTACGCACTTTCCGTGACTGACAAAAAGGTTCGCATGAGAAATTTTACCTGATGTAGTATTTTTTCTCTCTCTGGTCCCTTTGGGATCTTTCGAAGGCTGGGTGGGATGTACCAGAAACACACATTGGTGAGTTCAGGCTTAGACAAACAAAATAAAATACAAATTACAAAATGCCAATGTCTATCTGCAACAAATGTTTCCATTTATTAAACTCACTCACATTCTAAATTTTGCAATTCCTTTTCAGCAATTTCTCTAGTGCAATTCACTCACAGATGCTAACTGTGTGTGAATGTGAAGCAAACCTAAGCCTAATGGTTCTCCCTGAGCTTTTAATATATAAAATATTTCAAAAAGATTCCAGAATCTTTTTGAGAATCTTGGTTTTCACAATTTCCTTGCACAAAATTAACATGGAAGCCAATGTTTAGTAAGATTTCAAATATATAAAAAGTCCCGGAGATGCTTCGTAATCTAGCTGGCAGCTGCAAAACGATCATTCCTCAAAAAAAGTCCTACAAGAATCAGTTGTATGTTACTGTGAAATCTAAATTTATCCCAGTATGATATAAGCCTGGTCTCTGGGAAAGAGCTGGCTTTAAAAAGTGAAAATAAATCATTTAAATGTACCAAAACCCCAGGTGAGATGACTATTGAGAAGCCAGATTTATTAGCAAATATGTCACACAAATAGTTCGATAAAATCAGTTTGTCAAATGACAACTGTCAGCACTCTCAGTACAATGTCTGAAAAGACAGAATTCTAATTTATACCAAGGTATTCATTTATTTGTTGTCCACCTTTCATTCAAGGAGCTCAATGTGGAGTATGTAGATCTCTCTATTTTATCCTCACCACAACCTTGAGAGGTAGCTTAGGCTGAGAGTGAGTGACTGGCCCAAGATCACCCAAATTCAGTCATGAATCTCAGCCAAGAATAAACTCAACCAAGACATGTATTTCAGCTGAATTTGTGGGTCCGAGCATGAAATGCTTTGACATTCAAAGCTCACAGGGAAAACTGGTAGTTTCTATTGACAAAGAAAGCAGATGGTACCTTGGACAGCTCCCAGAGGCCCTACTAAGGCTGCTACAATAGATGCCACCTCTGCAGGGAGCTAGAACCCAATGAAGCTCAATGAAGCTTTATGTACAGGATAACCAGTGATAAAGTTCTGCCTCCCTGGAGGAGCTGGCTGGCTGGATAAAAAGGCCCCCAACTTATCATCTTCTAGTCCTTGACTTCTGCTAGAGAGACAGAGATAACACAGGAGATTCATCCTTTGAATAAGTTTCTCCCATCAAGGAAGTGGCTTGAACCTCATCCACATCAGAGTCTTCATCTACGAACTGCAAGGGTTGTGGGTTACGACAGGCTGAATTCACTGCAGCCCTAATTCGGTGTTGAATTTGCCATACTTGAATACTAACTTTCAGACATTGGGTTGCAAACAATGGTGGCTTTGTGCCGTTGGAAGTGTTTCCACTTGCCTCAAAGCAAGAGACCATATTTTCACCATTGCCCTGTTCCAATTGCAGCCCTGGATGCTCTGTTTTGCACTGTCTCCTCAGACCTCAGGAGAAGCTTTTGAGGGTTGGCGACATTCATTGGGCTGGAGGGACTGGCAACCATCAGTCCTTGTGAAAGCACTTGCAGAAGCTAGTGCAAAATCTCCATTGGACACAATCCAATATACTGAAAGGACGGACAGTTTTCATTTGACAGACGGATTTCACTGAACTGCTTCTGTGATATGTTGATTCATAAATGATTCCTGGTGTCAATGTGGATCCAATCTTGGCCAGTTACAGTCATCACACTTAGGACACTGGTGCATCTATATGATTTATTTTCACCTTTAAAGGCATCTCTTTCCCCAAGACTAGGCTTACATCAAAATGGGAGGAAACAGGGTTTCAGCATAGCACGTCTGGGCACAAATGAAACTCATGCGGCAACATCCCATAAGAACCACACATATTTGGTGGCAGAGCACATCTGCTTCTATATTTACATTATATATTTTACACCGGCCAGCTAGAATCATAAAGCCTCTCTGTTACTTTTAATATCTCTTTGGTTCTTACTGAGCATCATTTCCTAGCCTGGTTTTTTTCTTCTCTGGGATATTGCGTAAAACTGATGATAGCTCCTTCAGATACTCACATCTTTATTAAGCATTTTATGCATTACTAGCTCAGGGAAATCAGTGAGGTTACCTGTGGTTCATATCTATACACAGTACAAGTATCTGCATACATTGCAGAAGAAAACTTGCTGGAAGGCCTGGAAACAATGCCTTATGAGGAACGGCTAAGGGAGCTGGGCATGTTTAGCCTGGAGAAGAGGAGGTTACGGGGTGATATGATAGCCATGTTCAAATATATAAAAGGATGTCACATAGAGGAGGGAGAAAGGTTGTTTTCTGCTGCTCCAGAGAAGCGGACACGGAGCAATGGATCCAAACTACAAGAAAGAAGATTCCACCTAAACATTAGGAAGAACTTCCTGACAGTAAGAGCTGTTCGACAGTGGAATTTGCTGCCAAGGAGTGTGGTGGAGTCTCCTTCTTTGGAGGACTTTAAGCAGAGGCTTGACAACCATATATCAGGAGTGCTCTGATGGTGTTTCCTGCTTGGCAGGGGGTTGGACTCGATGGCCCTTGTGGTCTCTTCCAACTCTATGATTCTATGATTCTATGATTCTAAGTATTTTATTGATCGTCACAATCCTACACCAGCTGAAGCAACAATGTGTGGCTCATAGACCTTAAAAAAAAAACACCCGAGAAGCTTTGCATCTAATTTACTTATTTTGCCTAATTTATTTGGCTTCTACTTATCATAGGTGTGCCGTGTGAGGCATTCCAACTTCATAGATCACTGGAAATTCTATTGAGTTCCACATAGCCTGGAAATATCCATTTTTTTCCTTTTCTTTTCAAAAATGAAAACAGCTCAACATTTGATTACATTGACTCAGACCATTTTTTGTGATTTTTTTTTAAAAAAACTATGTTTTTTGTAGATCAGGAGTGGGGAATCTGTGGCCCTCTGGATATTGTTAGACTGCTAGGGTTGCCATATTTTGAAAAGCAAAAAAGAGGACACATTTGCTGACTTCTACTTTTAACTATGGATCTCTGTGATGACTCTCATCGTGGAAAAGAGGATGTGTCCTAGAAAAAGAGGACATATGGCAACCCTATTAGACTCCAACACCCACCAGCCTCATCCAGCATGATCAATGGTCAGGGAAAGTGGCAGTTGTAGCCCAACATCTGGAGGATCACAGGTTTCCAATCCATTGATTGATTGATTGATTGATTGATTGATTGATTGATTGACAGATAGCACAGAGACATTGATCATCACTTCTCCACTTTGCCAAAAACCCAACATGATGCACAAAGTTTAAATATACTTTTTGAAACAATCACTTGAATGGAATTGCCTCATACCCAGAGTCATGTACATGGCCAGATGAGTGGAACTTAGTAAACAAAATGGCTCTGGAAAACAGGAAACAGAAGTAGCTCAAGGAGCACATGCCACAAGCTAGAGGCAGTCACTCCTACTGGGTTGTGTGTTGGTCTGTTTGTTTATTAGTAATAATTAAATTTGATGCAGGATGCCAGGATCAATACGTAATCCAGTAGTACTCTCCTTGTTCAATACTTACCTCAGCATCAAACACAAGCTCATAGTTCTTTCTTGTCTTCAGTTCCTTGTAAAGGTATTCTGCAAGTTCTAGAAATCTGTTGATAAGCGTTTCAAATCCTCGCGTGCCCTGTAAGATATCAGTGGAGGGAAAGAGACAAAGTGAGAGAGTTCACTTTGCATCTAGACTGTGTCATACTATTTAAAGGATGGAAAGGCCAGTAAATCTACAGGTATAGCAGAAATCCACAACAAACCTGCAGCCCTTCAGATGTTGCTGGACTCCAGCTCCCATTGGCCCTAGTCAGCATGCCCAATAGTCAAGAATTGTAGGAATTGTAGTCCAGGTACATTTGGAGGACTACAGGTTCCCCATCTCTGAATTAGACAATATGTACGCTGCCTACAGGGAAGAGCTGAAACTCAAAGGTAGTGCAACTGCTTTGCTTGCAGAAGGTCCCAGGTTCATCTCTGGCATCTTCAGGTGGGGCTGTCTTTAAACCCTGGAGAGACACCTCCAGCCAAGTGTAGACATTAGTGAGCTTGATGGACCAAGCCTCTGCATGAGGTCACAGAATCATAGAATTGTAGAGTTGGAAAGGGTCCCAATGGCTATCTAGTGCAATCCCATATGGCGCAGGAATTGCAACTAAAGACTCCCTGGCAGATGGCCATCCAACCTCTGCTTAAAAACTTGCAATGAGGACTTCCGGTTGGTCGCCCGGTTATGGCAGTTCGGCTGAAAGAGCCCCAGCACTTTGAAGTTGGGGAGACCTCAAGAGCGTCGCGGTTCCCCGCAAAAAAAAACCCCTCAGATCGGGCGTTCTGAGGACCTGGTGTTCCAGCGGGTGTCTCTGAGAGAAGCAATGGGCCAGATGCTTATCTGGTGAAAACAAGCCATAAAGCTTTGTTGTATGATGTCCAACGCTGCCAAAGTTGTCCGCAAACAGACGTAGTGAACAGTGAATCCAGATATACCCACTATTTCATGGAATTCTTCTTCAGCACAGCAGAAGAATACTGAAATGCTTCATAATCCCGTCCATATGGTGAATGGAATTGTATAACAACAATTGCTATGGAGCAGTGGTCATAAAATTATGTAACCACTCTATATGGTTGCTTCTCTCAGAGACTTGCATAGCCCACAAAGACTTTCAGAGACCTGTAAGACTTATGTTTATTTGGTTCTATGTTTTCAAGAGAATCCATCAAGAGTGTATATTTTGTGACTTTCAGAGATTTAGAAGATTTCTGTTTATTTGATTTTGCAGAGAGTGCATATTTCATATATTCATATTGTTCAATGTTCTGTATAGATTATATAAAGAGTTTATATTGACACTGTGTTGTTGTACTTGGTCATTGTGTTGCCTTTGGATATTACTGATATTTGTTTGCAACACAGGGGTTTAATTGTTTGGTTACTTCCTAAGGTTTAGCCAGATTCTCCTTTCTTGCAATTTGAATCCACTGCTTCAGTTTCTACCCTCTGGAGCAGAAGAAAACATGTCCTTTGGAATATCCCTCAGAAACTAATGCGTCACTGTGGCAGATGTTCCTCAGCAGGTGCTATTTTTCTACAAAAAGAGATGCTAGAACTCACCACGAACACCTCCCTTGTTCTCTTAGAATGACAATGGTACCTGCCTAAGAGGTGCCAGAACTGAGTTTGAGTGAGTTCCAGCTGAAAAAAAGCCCTGGGTGCATCAATATAAAAGAGTTTTGTGGGTTTGTCAACCTCACTTTACCTGCAGTTCCCCTGCTATCCCATCCTCTCCCTCCCTTCCATGGCTTCAGATTCATCTTTTCATGATGAACGTCATTGTTATGCAATATATCTCAGCGACTTCTTCCCACGTGGGAGTCTGATCCCTGCAAGATGTTTCCTACCTTAGCTCTCCACATTAGCCACAGCTTGAATACGTCAACATGCCGGCCACACTGGATTGCCTTGTCCCCAGTGTCGTAAGCTGTGTCATACTGTTTGTCTGGTTGGAAGAGATATCCGGCACAGAGCTGATTACAGGCTTGGAGAAGACCCTAGCGGAGGGATAGAACTGTTAAGATAATGCTGCATTTGAAATCACCTTCACGTTTGAAACTATTCAGTGACAGGAAGTAAACATAATTTATTGACATTTTAATGATTTTGTAGAACCTGCTCCGAGAGATTTGCCTGAACATGATATGTACATGTACAGGGAACATAAAGAAGAACTCTGCTGGAACAGATCTCTCTAATCACATCTGGCCTGGCATCCTGATCTCCACAATTGTCAGCCAGATGGCTAAAGGAAATCCACAAGCTGGGCATGATGACAATGGTCATGTTTTAGCCCCATTGAAATAAATGGCATAACTTAGTCACAATTAACTTAGATACAACTGATTTCAGTGGGGCTATAGCATGAGACTCTACAGGTGAGATCACCTTTCCCCATATATGCCCACTCAGTCTGTGGATCTGGCACTGTTGCAGATGCAGATAATACTCTCTCTGGATTTGTAAGAAATTGATCTTCCACACTCACAATCTGGAACTCCCTATTGACATCAAGCAGGTGTCTTCACTGCACTCCTTTCCATAACTGCTTCAGACATGCCTCCCCCAGATGTGCAGAATGTTTACATGTGTTTTAATATATATTTTTAGCTTATTAGTCCAAAACATCTGGAGGGCCGAAGGTTGGGGATGCCTTACTTTGAGGTTTATGGTTTTTTAACAGTCAAGTAGTATATAAATATTATTAAATAAGAATGACTGAGTTAGTCTGGATACAACCCAAGTATTCATCATCATCATCATATTTATACCCCGCCCATCTGGCTGAGTTGCCCCAGCCAGTGTGTTCGTGTCAAAGAGATCAACTCAAACAGTCTCGGTACAACTTGTGACCCACCAAGCTGAATGCAGTCCACTCCCATATTATGGCCTGCTGGATACTTCAAAATCCTTGACTCTGCACACAGCCAGCATCTAGCAGGCTACACTACATAGCTGATGGACTGCATTCAGCTTGGCATGTCACATATTGTTATGTTTACATCGCCTGCAGATATATAGCCTAGCACAGCCTAGTGCTCTCCAGATGCAGACAACTAAATGCACTTTACAACCCAGTCATACGCATGTTTTCTCTAAAGCAAGTCCCACCAGGTGCAATAGGAGTCACATCCCAGCATCAGACAGCAAATCTAGTCATGCTTGTGTGGAACTTTGAAAACTGGTCTGGGATCCTGTGTCTGCCCTGAGATAGTGAGCTCTGTCCATGGTAGGAAAGGGGGGTGTGTTACCTTCTCACGGACTAAGAAAGCAGAGCACTGCAGCGGAACTCCCATCAGCTTGTGAGGATTCCACGTGACAGAATTAGCCCTAGGTAAAGAAGAAAATTAAAAGATAATGAATATGCCAGGTTTGAAATGGGTCGTATACTCTGAAGCATATAAACGCACACATAAATATTAGTTGGAAGCATTAGCGATGAAGTCACCGACTTAATAATACTTTATAGAGATGTTCATATCAGCAACTTTGATCCACAAGGTTTATCATCAAAGCAACTTGACAGGAGAATGGGGAGCGGGAAGCGGGGGAAGCAAAACGAAAAGTCAGCAGGACTTTCGAGAGAATGGGGACGCAGCATTTGATGCTGCAAAAAAAATTTGTATGAAATTATGCCAACAGGGAACAGAGTGCAAATAAACTTGTAGGTCTCTTACATCAGGGGACGAGGGGTCTTGTTCAGCCAACTTTTGGGGGGGGTGCATAGCAGTGGGGCAAAGGGAGGCAAAAGGTGGGCAGGGGAACAGGTGCAACTCTTTGTAGAAGATGTGTCAGGGACTGGCTGGATGAGGAAGCCACCTGGCCAAGAGCCACCCATGAAAAGTGCAGAGGGAAAGGGTTTGGACCCTGGAACCTGGTGGTGGGGAACCAGCCACACTACAGAGGAAGGGAAGAGCTGGGAAGTGCTTGAGGCTGGGAGCTTGGAGAATGATGAAGAGGAGGAAACAGGACAGGACCAGGAATCAGACTTGGCTGGTCCGCCACGGAGCTACTCTGACTCTTCTCTGACAGCCTGAACCCCACTCCCAAAACAAGATGTCTGCTGCATACCACAGAGCTAAGCAGACACAAAGAGGGTCCCTTGGGGCTCACCGTAGATGGAGGAAGGGGCCTGACACAGAAGGAGTGAGAGTGGAGGGGGAGTTACAAGCCAATCCGGGCAACTGCTTCATCTAGGCAGGAGCAATCCTTAGAAATCTCCATGTGCTCTTTGTTCTGCTTTCTTAATAAAGAAACTAACTGCACGTTAGCTAGTGTTTCACTCTCTTTCTCTGATCTGCGAACGACCTGCTCTCCTTGCCGGCTCCCTGACAAGAGGCTACATTCCAGCCATGTCAAAGTCAAAGGATTCTAGACATACACATGCACACTCCTTCCATCCAGATTTGTTGTTGTTGTTGTTGTTTAGTCGTTTAGTCGTGTCCGACTCTTCATGACCTCATGGACCAGAGCACGCCAGGCACTCCTGTCTTCCACTGCTTCCTGCACTTTGGTCAAACTCATGCTGGTAGCTTCGAGAACACTGTCCAACCATCTCGTCCTGTGTTGTCCCCTTCTCCTTGTGCCCTCCATCCTTCCCAACGTCAGGCTCTTTTCCAGGGACCATCCAGATTAAGACTGTGGTATTCAAGGACACATTGTAGCCAGACACAAGCACTCCAGATTGGTCCGGGGGAGATGGCGTAGGGAGGGCTGTGGCCTTGGAAGGATCTCGGGGGCCAGAGAGGGCCACATTCAGCCCCCAGGACTGAGGCTCCTCACCCCTGTCTTCCATAATATAAAACTTGGTACTGCTCTAGATTTATTCTCCTTTCCCCCTCAAACTCAGTGCAACAACTTGCTTCCGCTCCTACTATGAGTCACTATTACTATGGTGACAGGCCTTATAGTCTGCACTTTAGCAAGAGGTCTGAAGCAAGTAAAAAGACTGGCTAATACGTTGATCTTGCTGCAGCGTACCCTTAAAGAATATAATGTGATTACCTTTCAATGCCGCTCAGTTTGTGGGAATGCCTTCTTGACAGAAGCAGGCCGCCTCCCCATGCTGCCTATCAGAAACGAAACACACGCTTATCTTACTGGGAGAATGCCACCGTTCACCAACACCGTTTATTTAAATTTTGCCTTCAATTCATCTTAAGTACATTTCATAATGGAATAAGAATCCAATCTACAGACAATCCTATAGACATTCTGAACTTAGTAGCTATACAGTGGTACCTTGGGTTAAGTACTTAATTCGTTCTGGAGGTCCATACTTAACCTGAAACTGTTCTTAACCTGAAGCACCACTTTAGCTAATGGGGCCTCCTGCTGCTGCCGCGCCACTGGAGCACGATTTCTTTTCTCCTCCTGAAGCAAAGTTCTTAACCTGAAGCACTATTTCTGGGTTAGCGGAGTATGTAACCTGAAGCGTATGTAACCTGAAGCATATGTAACCTGAGGTACCACTGTACTACTGATCTCTTTGCTTGGAAGATTTTTTTTTTTAAAAAAATATGATTTTCAATTTTATACATTTCAATAATTTTACAATCATTTAACATCTCAAAACTCAACTTCCAGGAGCAAGATGGAACAGATAGCCAACAACCACCTTACATCCACATGCATCCAGAGGTTATACTTCTCGCAGATGTCAGCTATGTGAACGAGTGGATCGAAAGCTCCATACACAGTTGTCCCGGCTGTGGCACTTACATACAATGGTACTTTGCCCTGAAAACAAATTCAAGATGGCAGGCTGTATTAGTGCACATGCAACAAGGACTTGTCCTTTGTCATAACCTAGGTTGCCATACATCCAGAATTTCCCGGACATACGGGGAACGCTGCTGTCAGAAATGTCCTTTTTGCAATTTGGCTCAACAGCTGTCAGGGACTGGGCAGAGGAGGAATAGTGGAGATGGCCTCCCCATCTTGACCCTTCCAGGGAGGAGGAAGAGGAAGACAGTATAGACTTACAACAGGGGTTTGAGGGAGGTCACCGCTCAGAGGCAGATGAGGGGGAAAGTTGGGAAATCATGGGAGAGCCAGAGCAGCAGCTGGCTGACACATTGACACTAGAAAGCATTCCAGACCCACCATCTCCCAGAACCCAGCGAACCTGAAAAGTAGGAGAGCAAAGAGCTTGAAGAAAGAGGACCTTACCAGCACCCATAGAGGAGGTGATAAGGTTGATGAATGAAGAAGTGGGAGAGATGTGGGGTATAGACTAGAGAAAGGAAATGTGGTTGTGTGAATCAGTCCCAAAGTCACCCATAAAGTTGATTATTTGATGGGTACAGGGTTGTGAATATCTATCTATTGGTCTCAACTTAATGGGGTACACACTGGCAAACCAATCTAAAACTTTTCCCCAATAGTAAAAGTTAAGATATCCCCCCAATAAAATTATTCATCACCTATTATGGAGATCCATCTTGACAAGGCTGAGATGCAGTCTGACTGTTAACTGCTTTTGGCTTTCCCAAGACTTAAAGCATATCCTCTTTATGACATCACACATGACATCAAAATGACATGTTTGCATTCAGCCTAGACTATCTCCATGCCAACAGCAATGACCAGTAAACTTCTGCAACCAAGTAACCATCAGCCTGACTACCCAGTTGTTTCTATCTTGTCTATTGGATGTTCATTTTTTGATCTCATAATCAAAGTCTGAAGAAGAGCTGTGTATAATCTGAAAACCTGCTTCCACTGTTAAAGAAAACTAATTGTCAGGGACTGGGCAGAGGAGGAATGGTGGAGACCGTCTCCCCATCCTGACACTTCCAGGGAGGAGGAAGGGGAAGACAGTATAGATTTACAACAGGGGTTTGAGGGAGGAAGCAGCTCAGAGGCAGATGAGGGGAAAAGCTGGGAAATCATGGGAGAGTCAGAACAACACCTGGCTGACATGTTGTCGTTAGAAAGCATTCCAGACCCTCCACCTCCCAGAACCCAGCGAGCCTTAAAAGTAGGAGGGCAAAAAGCTCAAAGACAGAGGAAACTTAGAGGCACCCGTAGAGGAGGTGATGATGACGACGAATGAGGAAGTGGGAGAGAAGGGGATGGAGCTTCCCTCAGGACAATGTCATGATCCAAGAGGCTGGGTTCTATAGCCTCTCTGTGTAATTATTGAATAAAAAAGGATGGTAAGAAACATTCCCTTGTCTTTATACCTTCCGAGGCAACTACCCAGGAGGTCAAAACTTACAAAGTTCAACAACTCTGCCCAAAGAAAGCTCAACTGTTGTAAAACATCATAATCCTTTGCTGCAGAGCATGGTAAGATTCCTTCCTTTTCTTGGCACGCATCACTGTAGGATATAGTGGCAATGTGATATATCGCAAAGACATTTTACCTATATTCTGGAAAAATGAATTGATGAATCACAGGTGGAAGAATCTATTCCTTTTTCCTTCTTTGTCTCGTGTGCACAATCATCATCATCGATTGTCAGCCTACAGATCAGAACTCTTGGGTTTCCTTTCTCTTTGTCCAGCTCATACGTTCTTCAACACTTAAAATATTTTAAAAATTGGGAAGCATTTCAACTTGCTACTATGACAACAGCAGCAGGAGAAACCCCGTTGCACTGGTGGGAGTTTGTGCGCAGGCTTCCACTAGTGAGACTCTCTAGTCCAGTGGTTCTCAACCTGTGGATCCCCAGATGTTGTTGGGCTACAAGTCCCATCATCCCTGAGCTCTGGCCTTGCTAGCTAGGGGTGATGGGAGTTGTAGTCCAACAACATCTGAGGACCCACAGGTTAAGATAGGCTGCTCTAGTGGTTGCTTGAGACTGCTTTATATGGCATATTTTTAATACCATAAAAAGGATCACCAGGCCTGGTACCAATGACAGGTTTTGTTATTGGTCTCCAAAGGTGGCGACTCCTACTCCTGAGGGGAAGGACCATTGGCTAAACAGGCTGGGGCTGATGGGAGTTGGATTCTAGTAACACCTGGAGGACCATAAGCTCCCTAGCCCTGTCCTCCTCCTTCACCATCATCCCTTTCACTTTGCAAAGGACAAAGAGGAAGAGGAGATGAGGAGCAGCCACCAAGTCATCCTCAACCACCTGCTAACTTGTCTGGGGGGAGGGAGCTAGAGACCCTTCTGACTAGTTCCAAATAACCTGCCAAAGTCCAATTTAGCTCAATAGGGATATCACAAACATACAATTAAATTCCAGCAGAGTAGTTATAGTACAAGGACCTGAAAGGTTACATGAAGGTGATGGAAGCCAAACCTGTTTTTTGACTTGGATAATGTTTTCCTCCAGTTCAGATGGAATCATCTTCCCCCTGTTAAGAACAAAGCAGCAGCAGCAGTGCTTGCTAAATATGACTCATCATGCATCATTCCATATGCATAACCATTAAGGGCACCATCCATTTCCCCCTGCAAGCTAAAGTTCTGCATAGTGGAAGAAACCCCAATAATAATAATAATAATAATAATAATAATAATAATTTATATCCTGCCCTCCCCAGCCGAAGCTGTGCTCAGGGCGGCTAACAACAATAAAATAATACAACATTCTAAAATCATTTCATTATAAAATTAATTCAAATCAAATTGATGGCAACCATTGGGCTAGAGTTCTGTGAGGATTGCCAAAGGAGGGAGTCAGGCTGTGCCCTGGCCAAAGGCCTGGTGGAACAGCTCTGTCTTGCAGGCCCTGCGGAAAGATGTCAAGTCTCAATGCACTGCTTCAGAGAGGAACAGGATGTTTGGCTCTGTACAATATCCCCCCCCCCTCACCACACACACAATTTTGTAATTTGGGCTGGCACCTGAAATCCGCATGGCGCCTAACAGAACCTCCTTTTCATGTCTGCTATTTTATCTCACATTCCATCTGGAGACTGTGATCACACCCACACCAAACATTAAAGCATACAGCTTCCCCCAAAGAATGCTAGGAATTGTAGCTCTGTGTGGAAGCCATGAACTTTAAATGTGCTTGAAATGTTTGCTGTGGATGTGAGCTGTGACCCAAATGCAGACGCCATAACTTCACTACCAGCAGTGTTTCCTGGTCTCGTCCATTCTGTTCTGGAGAACTGAAAAGCCCCTGTGTTATTTTGTGACATTTTGATTGACCTGCTAAAAGTATTCTCCTGATACGGATTTTGGAATTTTTCTACAATTCGTTCATTTCCGTTCATTTATTTTCATTGTTTTTTCCTTACATAAACCATTAACTGTTGTTTTTGCTGTAGCGACAGAGCTGATTTGGGCCTCTATCGCCTGATGTCTGCCACTTTTTGAGGTGGTCACCATTGTATTTTCCCAGAATGCTTTGAAATGATGCAATGCCCAGTGAATTTGGGGGAGGCAGCCACCAAATGGAGTTCTTGTGCTAAACAAGATGTTAATCTTCCCATCTTTAAATGGTTTTTAGCCAAGTAGCCCAAAAGAGACAGAAGGTCTGAGAAATTATTATCAGACCTGTGAAAAACATGACTGTTGGATGCACAAGCCATTGCGGAATGAAGCCAATTGCTTAGAGAGACCTCTGGGCCTATAACTAAACCGGGATTTCAAAAGTCGATTGACGTCCAGGGGTTCGTAATTTTCAAAAGCCGATACTTTCTTAGGCAAGTCAATTGAAAAATCAACAACCTTGGGGTTTGTCAACGGTGAAACAATTTTTGTGGTTTCCTAAAAAAAGCTCAGCAACTTTCAGGGTGTCCTGGTTTTTACTTATTGAAATATGGCGACTAAACAGGCAGTTCGCTGAATGATGTGCAATTAAGATATTATTTCAGATATTATGCCTAAAATACAGAAAACATTATTCAGTTCTGCATTGTGAAAGCAACACATTTGTTTTTGGGGGGAAGTGTTCCTAATATGCGAATCTAGAATATGAAGAAATAAAAGGTTCACACATCTCTGCAAATGCAAGTAAATTGCTTGAGTGGATATATAAATCATGCACAAAAAGCAGCTGAAGGCCTTACCTTTCATCACACTTGACGACAATAACATTATCCATTCCGATCCCCAGAACCGCTGCAGCTTTCTTTACAGAATAATGGCTCTTAGATAGTAAGGTTGAAAAGGTTAAATAGAGGAAAGATCTCACAACATACATTAGAGCTGAAAGATTGCTTGACGATTGCTTCTATGTTAAAGAAATACAAAGACAGACAAGACAGGGATTTAAGCGCTCGTCGTCTGTTGACATCTAGGGGAGTACAATTCAACTAAAATACTACTTAAATCATTGTTTTGAGGAGAAGAGTGAACATCATACACGGTGAAACTGCCCATTCCTGTGTTTGCTGGTTTCAGAGTAACCATTCCAAAACATATATCATCTCTAATACTGTTTTGTTCCACAGAGGGAGGTACTGCCACCAGCTCATAAGGCATCCTTGAGATTTCTCTGGTTACCAACCATTATTTTATGAAGTTGGCAATGGTCACAGTCCAGTTAAGGCCAGCAATGAGCTATGACTAAGCTCCATTGAAATCAATGGGTGAAGATAAAATCTGATATTTGAAAACTTTCCACCTGGTTTTGCAAGTGAAACAAGGCATAAATTTGAGCTATTTTGGTCACAATGTGGGAATCAGGCAAATCTTCACAGAGTATACACAATCTTTACTTGAAACTTGCAGAACCAGGTTGTTTGTCCCCCCTTTCCCCCCCCCCCCCCAGATTTTGGCCATGGATAAGAATAGAGATGTTTGAACTAGGGCTGGAATGAAATGCCCCCCCCCCAATTTACCATGAATTGGTGGCAAATTTGGAGTACAGTGGTACCTCTGGATACGAACGGAATGCACGCATGCACGTGATGCCATTTTGACTGTCTGTGCATGTGCAAGCGGTGAAAGCCGGAAGTAACACGTTCCATTACTTCTGGGTCACCACGGAACGCAACCCAAAAGCACTCAACCTGAAGCATATTTAACCCGAGGTATGGCTGCACCCATTTTGCATGCATGCATAAAATGTTTGGTGCAACTGATTGATTTCGGTGAGATTTGACTTAGGGTGGTGGTTCTCGCAAGACAAACATAGCAGCAGTGCACACACACACACACACACACACACACACAGCTTAAACAACAAGAAAAAGAAGCTTACAAAGGTTTATTACTGGTCTTACAAAAAGCCTTACTAAAATATAGTGATAACAAGTCTCTACAGGATTATCATTAAAAGGCATCATATCACAAGCAAATAACATCGCATTGACTTTATTGCAAGTGCATACTTACATGTTCAGAAACAAAGAGTATGATGTCTGGAATGGCTGCCATGCCTTTAGTTTTAATCTCAGGATAACGTTTATAGCGGGCAACTAGAACACTGTAGAGGTTTGATATGCTGCCCCCTGGAAGATAAAGAAAGAAAAGCATCTGCTTGAATAGCTTAGTCTCCTTGGGAATAAATAGTACAACATAACACATGGGTAGGCAAACTAAGGCCCGGGGGCTGGATCCGGCCCAATCACCTTCTAAATCCGACCCACAAATGGTCCAGGAATCAGTGTGTTTTGACATGAGTAGAATGTGTCCTTTTATTTAAAATACATTTCTGGGTTATTTGTGGGGCATAGGAATTTATTCATTCCCCCCCCCTTCAAAATATAGTCCGGCCCCCCACAAGGTCTGAGGGACAGTGGACTGGCCCCCTGCCAAAAAAGTTTGCCCCTAGAGGGATAATTCATTAAGAACCCTTTCGGGTAAGATGGATATTAATTCCTATCCTCTAGGAGGAACCTCATTTGGCTTTTTCTCTGAGCTGTGGGTCCCAGGTCCAACATCTTGCTCAGCATCTGTTTGCGGAGTCTGCTGTGCAAAGGGCAGTCCAAAAGAATATGGTCCAGTGAGTTTGGTACTACCTGACTGAAGGCACACAGGCAGGATTGATAAGGAATTTATGAGTATCTACCTGTGGTCACTGCGAAGGGGAAAGCATTTAGTCTTGTGAGCATAAAAGCTCTTTGTTGTGAAGGAAGTGCTCTGTATATTCTATCATTTTTAGTTGCCAATCCTCCTTTGTAAGGACCTCACTCACTTGCCAGTTTGGGGCTAATAAGATCCGAGCAGCTGTACTGGCATACATAAATGTTTGGATGGGTACTTCCATCCAAAGTCCTCCTCTTGGGCATGGGAAGTAGAGCAAACAAGGCTGGGAGGAAGCTAAGTCATAGTTTAGTGTGATACCTGATCACAGCAAAAGAAAAACGTCTTTCTCTTTACAGCTTTGATTTGATAATCTAGCCATACCACTTTCTCGGACTTCTCTGCCCTCCCCTTAAGAAACATGTTCTTACAGTGATTTTGAGCCAGTATCTATTCATCTTTCTATACACAGGCTATCTTCAAATTAATGTTCACATTTTAAAATGTCAGCAAATGATCCATGTCGGTTCTAGGGTTTGAATAAGACTCATTGAATGAATAATAATATCTGATCTACTTACCGGGAGAAAATATGCCATCTGCTTCACTTTCCCCCCATCCGATAATTTCTTGCATTTTTCTAAGTATGATCTCCTCCATTACAATGAATACTGGGGCTATTTCATAAGTAAACCTGTTTTTTTTAAATATAAAAAAATGGTAGTCAAAAATACAAAATGAACTCATCAGAACAGATTGATAAAGACAAAGAAAAATCAATACAGATTTCCACCTCGGTCAAGCAACAGAATTGCTCACAGAAACAGGCTTCCACACAGGAAGGTAACAAGGATGTATTAATACACCTGGATAGATGCTCATTTGTACCTGTATCTCAAGCTTCACCCTGCTTTGAAGGAATTGGCTGGATGCAGATAGATAGATAGATAGATAGATAGATAGATAGATAGATAGATGATAGATAGATAGATAGATAGATAGATAGATAGATATAGATATAGATATATGAACATTCCCATTTATGAGGATGTGGTTGTTACTTGGGGCTGCTTGTGCATAGCTAGAGTTCGATCTGGGGCCTTCACATTTCTTTTTTCATCCTTTCTTTCCTCAGGTACCTTTTCTTACCGTCCTCTTTTCCATCTTCTGTGTCAAGGGTGGAGAAACCTATGCCAGTGGTAGGTGGAGCCAGAGGCAAAAGTAGGGATGGTTAGAGAGCAAGAAGTGGGCGGGTCCAAAGGCAAAAGTCAGTGGAATTTTGTCTTTGTACTGTAGGCTACATCTCAGCAACAAAAAGTCTCTATGCACACAGCTCCATTCAGTTGAGCAAGGGGCATTATCACATACCAGCTGGTTAAAACACCAAAGGGGGGCACTAAGTAGGACTGATGTAAGACCCTGATGTTGGGAAAGATTGAGGGCACAAGGAGAAGGGGACGACAGAGGACGATATGGTTGGACAGTGTTCTCGAAGCTACCAGCATGAGTTTGACCAAACTGCGGGAGGCAGTGGAAGACAGGAGTGCCTGGCGTGCTCTGGTCCATGGGGTCACGAAGAGTTGGACACGACTAAATGACTAAACTACAACAACAAGTAGGACTAGCAAGGGGGTGTGGCCTGTGGGAAATTCCTGAGGACTAGTCCATCCCTGTCCCGAGGTTCCCTACTGCTTGTTTAAGATGTTACCTCTGAGTTTAGTTGTTACACTTCAGTTTTAACTTCTATGCTGATGTCTGATTCCATGGCATGCAGTGAATTTTTTGGCAGGGGGATAGTTAGGACCAGAAGTGCCAGCTTGCAAGGACGATTGAGTCGGGGGTCTGAGCATCGTGTTGGGATACTGCCAGGGAGATAAAGTCCATCATGGCCCCCAAGCCGTCTGCCGGACGATCCATCGACCTCCCGTAGGCACGCAGCGACATGAGTTTCTAGAAAATATCCTGTACACATTCCAGAGCTCATGCACACTCTATCAGCAATTAGCACAGCCAAAAGTTGCACTCAGGAGAGCATTATTTACAAGTTTATTCAGCGTTGATCAGAACACAGAAAACATGACTGCCTGCTTTTAGTGTCTGCGACACAGAGAGAAAACGAAAGCAACAGAAAACATAAACATCCTGTGAACAGGAAATACGCAGACTCTGACTCACAAAGCCTGCTCCCTTTTAAGGTGGAACGGAAATATCCTAACATCGCACCTCCCTCCCTAAGCTGGGAAGAAGCTTCCCAGGCTTTGGGATGGAGGCGCAAGGCCTCCAGGATGCTGAAGCCCTGCTACATCCTTCCCAAAGCCAGTTGAGCTTTGGGGAGGTGATGGGAGGGCTAGTGGACTCTTTAGGGGATTAGCCTAGTCCCCGTAGTCCATTGACCACACACCACTGATGATGATGATGATGACAACGGTAATGACAATACAGTCATACCTCATGTTACGTCCGCTTCATGTTACTTTCTTTCAGGTTACGTCCTACGGCGACCCGGAAGTACCGGAAAGGGTTACTTCCAGGTTTCGCCGCTCATGCATTCAAGGATGCACAAAATGACGTCAAGCGCATGCGCAGAAGTGGCAAATCGCAACCCGTGCATGCGCAGATGCGTCGCTGCGGGTTGCATTCTTTTCATGTTGCGAACGGGGCTCCGGAATGGATCCTGTTTGTAACCAGAGGTACCACTGTAATGATATTTTTGACCTTTCCCAGGTAACTTGTTATTAATGGACAGCAGTACAGAAATGTTATACATAATAATAAAACATTATTACTGAAGACGGAAGCCTTCAAGAGGTAGTTCTGGTATCATCAGCATCAAGCAACTTTCCTGACAAATGCTTGTTTTCTAACCATACTGAGTGGTCCACGTGGTGGAAGAACACAAAGCCGCTATCTAACACTGAAGCATTACTTCCCGGCTTGGCACAGTCCACTCTGCTCCGCCCCACCCCACGCTCCCAAAAAGAGAGGTGTGTTTGCCAGCGAGCCAGTAAACAAAGCTTACTGAACAGTACAGGTAAGTGCATAATGGGTTTCGAGCCCTGAAGCTATGTCGTTGAGTTTCATGCTCCCTTTGATCAAAATCCCCTTTTGATCACACTGCACTTTGTCTGCATGCCTTGGTCCTTTTATCCTCTCTTAGAGGATAAGAGGACCTTATCCTCATCCTGCACTGCTGGCGCCAAATTCAGAGAACAACATTAGCTAACCGTGGGCGTAATGGACATTTCAATCCACAAAGGTACAGGGAAATATTGAAGTACACAGTACATGTCCAGTGCTTGGTTCATTGAGAGCACATAAACTCCACCAAGAACGTTCCATTAATAGAAAAGGGAAATGTCATGGTGCTCCACTGAATTCAGACTGATCTCCGCGCCTAATCAGGAAATGTGGAAAGGGCCATCCTAGTGGAAATTTTTGCTGCTCTTCTCGAACTGCTGCCATATAGCCCTGTCTGTTTCATGTTTGGACTTTGAAGCTCTCCTGAACTTCAGAAACAGAGAGTGTGCATCAAAGCGGCAGTTGGAATGAACATGAATTCAAAGGTCCACTGGGCATGTAGAATGGATTGCACAGTTGTTTGGATCTTTGCCTTTGTCTCAAAAGCTCTCAAGATTTATTCCAAAATATCAAACTCAAATGGTGTAATTCTCAGTGACTCATTCTGGTGATCGAATTAAACTGGTTTGGATCCAGGCTTAGTTACACTTAGAAGGTGTCCCTTGAAATTGACAGGATTTACGTTAGCCCAATTGATTTCATTGGGTTGAAATCAATTGTCTTTGAGATGCCATGCCACATAGGAGTTTTAAGAATATTTTTGAAATGTCACTCTTTAAAATCAAAGATGCGCAAGAGTAAAATCCATTGTGAAAGTCTGTCTTCAATTCTGAACAACAACAAAAAGGCTTTTTGGAAAGCTTTTGAAGCCTTTGATGCAGTCCTGCAGTCCAAATTTAGTCAATAAGCTATCTTTGTTCCAAGCTCATTACATAATATTTAAGACAGCAGAGGAAAACGATTAAATTTGCTGAAGTTTTCCATAAGAACTTGGCATGGACATTATTCTGTTTATATCTGAAGTTATCAACAGTATTTTCATTGACATTTCTCAGACTCCTTCCAACTTCATCTTTTGAAGAGTTCTTACACAATGCCCACTTTGTTAAAATGTCACTATGGAGACTATTTCTGCTGTTCATAGTATCACAGATGTAATTAAAGTATGGAGGGTAAAGATTCAGCACTGTTGACCTCTCAAGATGTATCATTTAAGCACTCAAATTTGCTTACAGCAAAACCCACCAAAACTCTGAAAATTTATATATTTCACCTGCTATGCAGGAAAATTGATGGGATAGTTGTTATTTTAAAAAATCTTGTAAAAGTGCAATGAACATCAGAATTCATTGTGTTATTCTTGCAGGCAAATGAGGGAAAGGCCCTCTATAAAGAATTATGACAAGTTTGCATATGTCTTCTGTAAATAGTTGCTATTTATAATTAAGCATGATCCAGCCAAAACTAAGGATCATTATTTTCAATTCTCAGTGGACTTTTATTAAGGCAGTTGGACAAACTTTGTAAATTTATAGCAGGAACATGTGGTCCTCCAAGATGCAGCTGGTCTACAACTGCCATCGTCTCTGACAGTTGGCCATTCTGGCTGGGACTGATGGAAGCAGGAGTCATGGAAGCTGCCTCATACTGACTCAGATCAGACCATTGGTCTATTTAGCTTCCAGTCAGCAAGCCCAAGAGGCTCAGTGGTTTAGACCAGTGAGCTCCCATTGCTCTGTCCCAACTCCTGCCAACCTAGCAGTTCGAAAGCACACTAGTGCAAAGAGATAAATAGGTACCGCTGGGGCGGAAAGGTAAATGGTGTTTCTATGAGCTCTGGCACTCATCACAGTGTCCTGTTGTGCCAGAAGCAGTTTAGTCATGCTGGCCACATGATTGGAAAGCTGTCTGTGGACAATCCCTTGGCCTGAAAGTGAGATGAGCGCCATAACCCTATAGTCACCTTTGACTGGACTTAACCATCCAGGGGTCCTTTACCTTTACCTTTTACCTCTATCTAGCTCAGTATTTTCTCTTGCTGGCTGGCTGTGGCTCTTCAGGATTTCAGACAGGAGTCTCTCCCAGCCATACCAGGAGGTGCCTGGATTGAACCCAAGACCTTCTGCCTGGGACCACTGAGATGAGTCCGTGTACATCTTGCAGGCCACAGGCTATCCACTTTTGATTTAAAGGGTTCTTCAAGTGAGACTTAAACATGCTTAACTTTGTCTGAATCTTGCCTACAATAATAGGCTCAGATTACCATTGTTATTGTCCTCATGGCAATTTGCTATTTGTCCCGGAAGATACTACTTGCTGCAAATAGTGTTTTCAAAGCAATAGCTCAAGGAGTAGCGGTTTTTGTTTTTAAAAGATGATATGGAGTGAGGAGCTCGCTCACTCTCCTCTTATGCTGCAGTCCCAGTCCAGATCAGGATCCCAACACAGAGAGATGCATGTTAAGGAGGAAATGTGACAGGTGCTAAACATGTTTCTTTTTAATCATATCATTTGGCCCTAAACTGAAGCTTTTGTTATTTCAGTAGAAACTGGACTCCTTAACTCCTTTTTTCTTTCTAGTTTTTCCATCCCTCTGAGTCCAATAAACCTGTCTTCCCAATGCGTTTCATAAATGTATTTAGTCTCTGTTTGCTGGATCTCATACAACCTTCGCATTCTTGAAGAGCAATAATAAAAAAGGAATTTGGTTTCACTGTTGCTTCTTAATTCAGATTAATCTTGTATAAAAATGGCCATCTACAGTACATACATGTTTGTATTTGCTGTAGCCGTCAGCCATTCCCCAGCAAGTCCTACAATGTCAAGGCCACTGGAAAGTTGGTTGAAGTAACGAGGATGCCCTGAAATGTGGATAAATTGAAGATAAAACAGGTCATGCCTTTTGAAGAAATATTAGAGGCGCTTCGCTTCATCAGCAAAGTTTCCAATTTGTTAGGGTTGCCATATTTCAAAAAGCGAAAGAGGAAAAAAATGGAGGTTTTGAGCTATTTTTAAGGAAATTCACCAAAATCTAGACTTCCGACATGGATTTTCCTTGACATTTCAGTGATTTCCAACTGCCGTATTCTGGCTATGTCCAGGAAATCCCAGACATATGGCAACCCTAAATTAGTGGTACAAATTAGTGGCAGTTAAAATATATTGTGAAGAAGGAAGAAATCCCTAGATACCAGCCTTGAGGGGTTTCTACATAGTTAAGTAGAGCCATGGGGGGGTGTTTGTACAGGGAGGTACAGTAGCAACTGTGGTAGAAGAAAGCTCTTGGCTTATGTGGATAATTCATTAAACACACACGCAAACAGAAATGAACATCTACTTAGTTTCCTCAAGACACCGTAGTCCTCAATGACCTTCACTCCAAGAAAACCAAACTCTGAGTAAGCGTTGGAACCCCCTGAAGTCTCACCACTTGGAGATTGTGACGTGTGCAACCATATGGCTCTTCCATAAAAGTGAGGAGGGAGAAAGAAGAGCACAAGAATTCGGCATATGTCTAAAGCTCTTGGGTCACTTATTATACTATGTGCAGGTAGGATGGTGCTGAATGCACTCATTCCTGCAGCACATAAACAAGACCAATGGCCAGATGAATGTATGTATGATCGGGCCCTATGTCTACCCTGAAGACAGAAAGTTTGTAAGCCACCAGACTGCAATAGGAAGGCGCATGCTAGGGCAGCATGAACAGATCAAGGTGGTCCGCCATCCTGTTTCCCATGTTGGTTGGCCACATGTCTCTGGGAAGCCCACAAGTTGGGCAAGGAGGCAATATCCCTTTCCTGTGGTTGACTCCCAGCTCCTGCCATTCAGACACATGCTCTCTGTGAACCCAAAGTCCACATGGCTGCTAGCCACTGAAACAATGCTGTATAAACACAACGAGCAGTTACCAGTTTTGACTCCATATTTCAAGGTATCCCTACAGTCAACAAGTATTTGTTCCAGAGGTTCTGGCTGATCCGAAAGTTCCACGCTGAAGCCTTCCAACCCTTCCAGAAGCTGGTGAGGGTGGTGGAAATCCAGCACTTTCGTCTTTCCATCGTAGGTCTTTTTGATGTAACTCAGGAGAATACCCACAACTTCATGCAGGAAACGTTCTGTCAGTTCCTCGCCATTCTGATTAGGCAAAAGATCTGGGAGTTGGAGGAGAGAAATTCTGTTTAATGATGTGTAGGATTCAGGAGGAGACTTGGGGCAAAGGCTGATTTGCACGAGGTTGCACATTTAAATCTACAACTGGATAGAAAAATGGGGTCAAGCTTCTCCCAACCATTTTAACCCATGGTCCTTCCATCCATCCCCTGCCCCAGTCCCAGCAAGTAGGACTCCATGTGCACCACACAACAGGACCTTGAGATGAATGGAAGGAACACATAATGACTGTTAAACAGTGATGGGGAAACTGTGACTCTCCAGATATTGTAGGACAACTGGACTTTATCTCCAGCTATTGGCCACCAGCCTCAACTTTCAGAGGACCACAGGTTCCCTACCCCTGCTGTAAAAAGTGCAGGGGGAGAGTCTCCAGCTTCAACATCAGCATTGCTTCTTTGCATGCCACCTTTCCATAGTTCCAACCATGCTCCAGGTGGCTTACAATATGCAAAAAAAGGTAAAGGTACCCCTGCCCATACAGGCCAGTCTTGACAGACTCTAGGGTTGTGCGCCCATCTCACTCAAGAGGCCGGGGGCCAGCGCTGTCCGGAGACACTTCTGGGTCACGTGGCCAGCATGACAAAGCCGCATCTGGCGAGCCAGCGCAGCACACAGAAACGCCGTTTACCTTCCCGCCAGTAAGCGGTCCCTATTTATCTACTTGCACCCCGGGGTGCTTTCGAACTGCTAGGTTGGCAGGCGCTGGGACCGAGCAACGGGAGCGCACCCCGCCGCGGGGATTCGAACTGCTGACCTTTTGATCGGCAAGCCCTAGGCGCTGAGGCTTTTACCCACAGCGCCACCCGCGTCCCATACAATATGCAAAGATGTACATAATTTCAAAAATATGAGAACAGTGGTCACAAGTGATAAATAAAAACTTATCGAAACATACACAACAAATTTAAACAATCCCCACATGCTGTAATAAGATTTTAAAATTGGTATACAAAAATAACACGAGTAACGGCAAAACTAGCATCTCCAAAATTAAATATGGACCACAACAATGACCCCTAAACAATACCCCGCTTCAAGATTCTGCAGACATCCTGAGAAGCAGGTCTTGAAGGATTCACAATGGGGTGATTCAGAAACTGTACATGTAGATCTTAAATTTCCACCTCTCTCCCCTACACACACACACACACACACACACACACACACACACACACACGAATATATTAATCCTACCTGACTCAAAGATATTTGAAAAATTGGTCACAAAGCTCTCAATGGTAGAATCTTTCTCTCTCTCTTCACTTTCTCCCTGGAAGCTAGAAAGACGCTTTTGTCTCAGTGGGTCAGGTCCAGTACTGATCTGTTTGTCTGGAAATGAGGAATAAAAAAGGTCAATACAAAGGATAAGTAAGCTTGCTAAAATAGTCATACCCAATTTAAAACTGCAATGCCCCATCGCTGTATTGGATCAGATTGTTATTACGTGTGTGATCTTTGCTGCCTGTTTTGCAGTATCTTCAGCTTGTAAACCTCCTTGTGTAAATTGCCCTCCATTCCCCTTCTTTTGACACACAAACATCCCCTGTCTCTCCGCCACAGCTGCGCCAACTTGGGCACCACACTGTGGGCTCTCAGGGTGTGCGCCACAGAGTGGCATGTGTGCTCCGACACCACAGTGGTGCCTGGGGCCTCTGTCCATGGCTGCAGTGGGCCCCATATAGGCCCCGCATCAGTGGCACATCCCAGACCAGCCACTGCCTAAGCGCCAGAGGTAAGGCAGTAGCAGCAGCCTGGGGGTGAAGGCCAAACAGTGGTACTGGTGGGGTACAGAGGTCAGGCACGCACAACAAAATTGTGGTTGACCGGCTCCCCAGGGCCCCCTGGAGTTGGTGCCAGTGTTCTGGTCTATGCTTGATTGGCAGACTCACGCAAGCCCTTTTCAGGCATCCTAATGCCTCCATAGCATCTTAAAAAGCAGAGACATCACCTTGCCAACAAAGGTCCGTATAGTTAAAGCTATGATTTTCCCAGTAGTGATGTATGGAAGTGAGATGTATGGAAGAAGGCTGATCACCGAAGAATTGACGCTTTTGAATTATGGTGCTGGAGGAGACTCTTGAGAGTCCCATGGACTGCAAGAAGATCAAACCGATCCATTCTGAAGGAAATCAGCCCTGAGTGCTCACGGGAAGGACAGATCCTGAAGCCGAGGCTCCAATACTTTGGCCATCTCATGAGAAGAGAAGACTCCCTGGAAAAGTCCCTGATGTTGGGAAAGATGGAGGGCACAAAGGGAAGTGGACGACAGAGGATGAGATGGTTTGACAGTGTTCTCGAAGCTACCAGCATGAGTTTGACCAAACTGCGGGAGGCAGTGGAAGACAGGAGTGCCTGGCGTGCTCTGGTCCATGGGGTCACGAAGAGTCGGACACGACTAAATGACTAAACAACAACAAATGCCTCCATGTGATGAGATCAGAGTGAAGGGAGAGCAGGAACCAGTGCACTAAACTTGTCCCACCTGTTGCTCAATTTGGAACCCTGGAAGGTGATGCATAGTAAAAATGCACACAAGAGTACTATGGGGAGCAAAGAGTTAGTGACTCTAGGAGACCAAAGGTAAAGGTACCCCTGACCGTTAGGTCCAGTCGTGGACGACTCTGGGGTTGCGACGCTCATCTCGCTCTATAGGCCAAGGGAGCTGACGTTTGTCTGCAGACAGTTTTTCTGGGTCATGTAGCCAGCATGACTAAGCCGTTTCTGGCAAACCAGAGCAGCGCACGGAAGCGCCATTTACCTTCCCGCCGGAGCAGTACCTATTTATCTACTTGCACTTTGACATGCTTTCAAACTGCTAGGTGGGCAGGAGCAGGGACCATGCAATGGGAGCTCCCCCCGTCGTGGGGATTCAAACCGCCGACCTTCCGATCGGCAAGCCCTAAGCTCAGTGGTTTAGACCACAGCACCACCCGTGTCCCTCTCTCCAGGAGGGTACATAGGATGAAATCATCCTTTCCACCTGTTCTGTGGTCTCACCTATTCTTTTGCTCTTTGTGTGCTTAGAGAACACCAGGGTGAATCCCAGTAGCCAGCTTTTGTTTCGCAAATTCTATGGCACTGTTCTGCTCAATAGCAAAATACAGCGCTCCCTTGCTACACTGTACACAATCTTCCCCGCCAGAGAAGAAGGGGTGAGGGAAGATCTCTATCAGAGCTTGCTGCCTGACACAATTGCCTCCCTTTGCCTCTCACAGTCCTGTGAGAGACTGTATTTCCATGGCCTAACTTTGTGCTGCACTTAGTGCTTCACCAGGTCAGGTATAGCCTCTCCTTCCCTTATTCTCTTTTTTAGTGTGGGTCTGTGGCACCTTGTCACACTCACTCTTCAGCTTTGGGTATGAAGGTTTTACCCAAGATATGTGTATACTGCATTGGCTGGTTATATAGGTATAACCTCATACCTTCCAACATTTCTCCAATGCTATTTAAAATTAATTTAGCAGAACTCAACTCCAGAGAGAAAACAAAACAAAACGTGAAACATCTGATATTTGTTTTAGTGCATTTGATTTTTGCTGAAATTTTCTGCATGGGGGAGAAAAATAGATCATTTACACAGTTAATGACTCAGTTTTACCTGCAAAACACAAGTGCCTACAAAGATATTTGCATACAATCATCTGAAGGGGCAAAATTGCACCTGCTACAAATAGAAATCTACATTCTACGTGTTAATCCCCCGTTTTTCTCCTAGTGTGTTTTATGGCACATTCTACAATGTGGCTTTGTCATTAAAATATACTGTGCTGAAAATGTAAATCTGTTCTCTTTTTGCCCAGAATCCATTTTGGTACATTTAATACCTCAAATGAAAGCATGAGTTGTAAAGCGACTTTTTTTTCTTTTCCCACTCATGCAAAATGACTGTGAAGTAATTTCAGAGATATAATCTTTTCCTTCTAACCACTTGCAAAAATTTGATAAGGGCGAGGGGTGTGGGAGTGGAAAGATAGAGAGAAAGAGAGAAGAAAAGTGTCAAATTATATCCCTGGACAATTAGCTATTTGCAGTTGCATGCCTTCCGCAGAGCTTCATATTCCCATGTCATTCTTCCTTTTCATATTTATAGCATCTTTGAATGTTCTGCTGGTGCTTTTGGAAAGTTACATATTTTCACTGGGAAAATCTTAAAAGGAGAAATGGTGAGGCAGTGGGTGTCCCTTTGTTGGCAGTGAAGAATTGTCTCTGTGTGCAGATCCTCAACAGCCATAGCTGAAGAGATTGGGTTACTGGCCTGGGAGCTCAGTAGGAGACAGGAGAAGAAGAAGAAGAAGAAGAAGAAGAAGAAGAAGACGACGACGACGTGGAGGAGGAGGAGGAGGAGTTTGGATTTGATATCCCGCTTTATCACTACCCGAAGAAGTCTCAAAGCGGCTAACATTCTCCTTTCCCTTCCTCCCCCACAACAAACACTCTTTGAGGTGAGTGGGGCTGAGAGACTTCAGAGAAGTGTGACTAGCCCAAGGTCACCCAGCAGCTGCATGTGGAGGAGCGGGGAATCGAACACAGTTCACCAGATTACAAGACCACCGCTCTTAACCACTACTCCACACTGGGGAGCACCCTAATAAGAAACAGGAGGTGGTAGCCAGAGTCCTGACATTGGAAAATTATGGCTTGGATCCTAATGAGGCAGTTATGAATGAAAGGGCTCCTCCCTTCAGAGCTCTGACTGAGGATCCTGCCTGCTTAAGGGAGGGGTGCAATTTTCACAGATACCCCCTTCCCCCGAACCATGTCTCATACTGTTCCAGGGGGTCCCCTAAATCTACCTGCCCTCTGGAGTATGTGGGAGGGCACAAGAGGCTATGGGGGGAGCATAAGAGTCAACTCCTAGGGGTCGAGGTCCCATCGGCCCCCCCTAAAATATTTGAAGAGGGATGGCCCGCCCAAATTGATAGACTTTGCCATTCAAATGGTGTGGTGCATTGTGTCATGTGATCAATTGTGCAGGGCCGGGCTTACCTGCCCCCCCCCCAATATTTTATTCAAGTTGGCACCCCCGGGGGGGGAGAAGGGATCAATGAATGTCATCTCCCCTGCCCCATTCTGCTGGGCGAAGCATCACTCGAACAGATCTCCATTTAGAGAGACTCCCATCAGCTGGAAGTCTGTCTGGTTTGTAACACAAGAAAATCTGAAAGAAAGAAAGAAAGAAAGAAAGAAAGAAAGAAAGAAAGAAAGAAAGAAAGAAAGAAAGAATCCAAGCCACTGAAATGACTGTCATTAGCCAAAGGTCCTGGATTGCATAATGATTGATTGGTTGGTTGATTGATTGATTGATTGATTGATTGATTAAACTAAGCATCTCCTACTAAAGAAAGTACAGAAAGACAATACTGTATATGTTTATCCCTGAGAAGGAGGCAGAGGAGAATTTGGGTTCAAATAAGTGTTTACTGGATGGAAGTCCATAGCATGGAATCAGCGGCAGATCATCCACAGTCCAGATAACCAATACAGTACCCTCCAAAAGCTGTTGAACTGCAACTCCCATCAGCCCCACCAAGCACAGTCAATGGTCAGGGAAGGTGGTAGTTACGATCCAATCACATCTGGAAGTTGCCCCATTAGCAACCCATGTCATAGAGATTTCCTAGACAAATGTCCAGTGTTTCTCAAACTTGAGTCCCTAAGTTGTTGGACCACAACTCCCATCATCCCTGACCACAAGTCCTGCTAGCTAGGGATGTTGGGAGTTGTAGTCCAACAACATCTGGGGACCCAAGTTTGAGAAACCCTGTGGGATAGACCAAAAGTATGAAGACTCTACAGACCTGGAAGAACATCACAGGACCCATTCTCATGTTGCATTTTTAGATTTGTGTCTGCATCTGAATACAACGAAAAGAAATGTGAAATCTGAATCAGCTCTGTGAAGTCTGTCTTTACATCTGTACAGCAACTGAAGAAGAAGCAATGAGAAACCACCAAAGATTTCTTAGAAAAGTTTCGGTTTAAACTGTTGAAAATTAACAGCAGAAATATTTATTTCAAGAAAGCTCACATGAAACATTTCAGATAAAAGACTGAGCTCCTATATGCCTGATAAAAATTAGTTACCTAATAAATTAGTAAAAATTAGTAAAAAAAAACCTTATATTGTTCCCTTTGGGGTTGTTGCTTTTTAAACACATCGCCACCCCTTCTTAGCAGGAAAGAAAGAAGGAAGCTTTTAAGATTTAATTTCTTTTCTGACAGTTTAAAAACAACAACACCATAGCTTCTCATCATATATAAAGCAGCATGTGGCTTTTGAAGAAAACAAACATCAGGGATGAGGAAACAGCAGACAAGAGACCAATCTGTGCTTGTTGCTCTTGTCTTCCATTGAGGATTCTGACCCCAAATGTTCTGAACCTCACAACCGTCACCCAAACACTTTGACTGACTTCTCTTTCGCTTTTTAAAATGTACCAGTACAAAACGGAAACCGTGTCCCAGACTGTCTCGCCCTGACAAAGTCATCCGCAAAACAGATTACTATTTTTAGACGTCTTGAACAGCTAGATTTCTTTTTTAAAAAAATAATAATCTGCTAATGATATCTGCGCACTTACTTGTTCTGTTGTTCACCATCTGGAAATCCATTTCTTTGCCGCTCCGAATAACCATGCACGGCAGAAAAAAAAGTGCAATTTCTCAGCAGCCCTAATATGGACAAACACACAATTCTCAAATGTATCTGCTGCTGTACTAATTTGTTTTACATAGTTTTGTATTTGTTGAATAGATAGTGCCTCTGGGCGTTCCAGTTACTTGTTAAAGCAAAAAAGGGTGGAGACAAAAAATTCTGATTTCCTTTGTGAAGGTTTGGTGTTTTGTGTGTGTGTGTGTTTTGGCGTTGCTGGCTTAAGGCCCTTAGGATTATTTAATTATTTGTTAGGTCAAATGCAAGGAATACTTTTCCTTTCTGCTGTGCTCCTTCTTTCCCTGCCAAACACAAGACATCCCTATACATTCTTTGCAACGACCGCTCCCCACATTAAACGGTGGGTGCCCTTTGCATGGTCATGCACAGCCCCCCAGATCCCAGTGTGGCTCCTGGTAGTAGGGGCTGGCTTCGCCTTCCCCAGGCTGGATACCTGGAGGTCTCCGCCTACCTCAGCCAATCGCCCAATCCCACCTGGGGAGGCGTTGCCAGGGAATTGGTCAGGTAAGGGGAAGGACCACCCTGCCCACATAACAAAGGGAGAATCTTACCTGTGAAGCGTCAGTTGGCTCCAGAGCTTCTCCCACACTGCCCTCCCTCAGTTAAACCTTCTTTTGCAGGTTAACCTCTTCTCTTTGTGGCTTAGGGCCCTCGTATTTATGGGACCGCCTCTCCTGGTATGCCCCGCAGAGGACCTTAAGGTCCATGAATAATCATAGTTTAGAGGGCCCGGACCCTAAGGAAGTCAAACTATCCTCCACCAGGGCCAGGGCCTTCTCAGTGTTGGCTCCAACCTGGTGGAATGCTCTGTCCCATGAGACCAGGGCCCTGCAGGATTTAACTTCCTTCCGCAGGGCCTGTAAGACAGAGCTATTCTGCCTGGCTTTCGATTTCAACTTAGCCTGATCTTTTATTCCCCTTCCTTCCCTCCCCCTCCCCTTTTCATGAAGATTACCCGCTCTGGGATCCCACAGCTAATTCTTCCCTGGTCTCCTTGCTGGCCCAAATAGGACTAATTTAGCCAGCTAGCCCTGGTGATCATCTAATGTTTATTAGATGGATCCCCCCCCCAATTGATTTTTGATTTCTGGATTTATTGGCATTCATGTTTTATACTGTATTTTATGCTGTTTCTTGTTGCATCAATTAAGTGTTTTAAATTTCTTGTTAGCCACCCTGAGCCTAGTTTTTTGAACTGGGAAGGGCGGGGTATAAATAAAAAAATATTTATTTATTTATTATTCTCAACAGGTACGCAGACGCTGCTACATCATGGTCGCTGTTGAAGGGCTGGAAAGGAATTTTCCTGCATTGTCAGGTTTTGCCTTCCCCATAGCAAAATGTCACAACTTTGGTGGTTTCAGGCCTTGGGCGGAACCCTTTGGTCTATCTTCCTAAATGGGGGGGGGGCGTGAAGAGGTGACCCATGCCCCGGCTTGCGGCGGTGATACCAGGGTTCCCCATTAAAGGGGTCTTGAGGGGAGGCATTGGCCATACGCCATTAGGTTGTCATTGCTCTTCCCTGTGACAGCAGCAAAATGGGGAGCGGGCTCTCTGCTTGAACAGACATTCTCCAGAGCCAGCCCAATCCCCACACATTCTGGATAACCCTGATGTGCCCCAGATCCCTGGCTGGGGACTGGGAAGGATAAACGTCCAATGCCTGAGCCAAAGTCTCCCTGCGTCCAAAGCTTAATAAAGTTGGGGCCAATTTTAATCCCATAGCACATTGTCTTGAGTCATTATTCCACTCAGGAGTTGCCTGGCATTGGGGGGACTCCGCCTGTCCATGCAAAATTAAAGACCTTTCAATAAAAACCCTCTATTTCATTAAAAAACCCTCTATTAGGGTTATGTCATTTTATAGCAAGAAACTAAGGGAGCAATCCTGCGTGCAAGAAACTGGTGTAAAGCTAGCCAGCCTAAATTAAGCTGGCATAAAGTTACACCAGATCATAGGAGTTAAGTCCTAAGGGCTGAGGTCCCTTCTGCCCCCGCCCCAGTAAAATGCAGAGCAATAAAATTAGCACCAGCTTAGCTGCAGGAGTTGTTGGAAGAAGGCATACAGGATTTTTGTTAGGGGGGCAGGCCTTTTGTTTGGGGGGGTGGGCAGAACCTCAGTTAGCTACGTATTGTTATTGATTTAGCTGCCCCTCACTGCCCCCCCCCAGCTATGCCCATGCATTCAACCATCTTAAGGACCCCACTCCAGATTTCTGGAGCTGCTTCTTCTCCTGAAGATGTCCCAGAAGGCAGATTTTTCCTCGGGGTTTGTTCATGAAACCTATCTCACGAATTAGTACAGCTTCAAGGCGCTGGAAATTTAGGGCCAGGGTTTTCCTTCTCCTAGATGGGCTACCTTCCCAGGTTGAGGAGCCCCATCTGCTCCTCACTTCCCTCTACAGCATGTGCAGAAACCACCTTCCTGATCATTGAACCCACTATTGATCTCGTCTGCTGAATCTGCCATAGCTTGTCTTCACATGCAGGGGAAGCCACTCAAGGTTTGAGAGCCATCAGCTGCCCTCACCTGGTTTAGCCAGCCAGTCAAAGCCATTTCCTGGAGTGTGGATGCTGTCACATGATGTCAGCTTCTAGGAGCCACAGATGACAGCTGAGGCACGGTGGGGACTAAAGGTGGACAAACTACCCCAGAAGGAGCATAACATGTCCCCTAGAGTTATTTGTTGTTGTTGTTTAGTTGTTTAGTCGTGTCCGACTCTTCATGACCCCATGGACCATAGCATGCCAGGCACTGCTGTCTTCCACTGCCTCCCGCAGTTTGATCAGACTCATGTTTGTAGCTTCGAGAACACTGTCCAACCATCTCTGTTGTCCCCTTCTCCTTGTGCTCTCAATCTTTCCCAGCATCAGGGTCTTTTCCAGGGAGTCTTCTCTTCTCATGAGGTGGCCAAAGCATTGGAGCCTCAGCTTCAGGATCTGTCCTTCCAGTGAGCACTCAGGGCTGATTTCCTTCAGAATGGATAGGTTTGATCTTCTTGCAGTCCATGGGACTCTCAAGAGTCTCCTCCAGCACCATAATTCAAAAGCATCAATTCTTCGGCGATCAGCCTTCTTCCATACATCTCACTTCCATACATCACTACTGGGAAAACCATAGCTTTAACTATACGGACCTTTGTTGGCAAGGTGATGTCTCTGCTTTTTAAGATGCTGTCTAGGTTTCTCATTGCTTTTCTCCCAAGAAGCAGGCAGTCTTTTAATTTCCTGACTGCTGTCACCATCTGCAGTGATCACCCCTCCCTTAAACCCCCATACAACGTCTGGAGAGCCATGAGTCCCCCATACCTGGCTTATAAACTGATGTTCTCTGCATTTAAGGAAATGTTTCTAAGTGGTGACAAATATAATAATTTACTTGGAAACTTCCTAAGAATTGGGCATGAGAACTGCTGCCTTAATATAATATTTTCTATTCATGTCTCTCAGATACTCTCAGAGAACCACATGATTGCTCGCACCTTCTTTTCATCGTTTTTAAATGCCTTTCATCTAATTTCCTGCGGCTTAATAGATGTTCTTTTCATTTTTCTGGATCATTTATCATGTTTTGATCAAAGTTCTTTGTACATTTCCCAGCTGAGCAATCACGTGTGCTTTTGTTTCACTAGTGGGAATGGGAGTAATCAGCTAAGATTAACCACATTTCTTGTAATGGCAGAATTATATCAATAAAGAGGACTAGAGGAGGTAATATTTCACAATATTTTGTTGTTGTTGTTGTCCAGACACTCCTATGTTTTGCAAAAAGAGCAAGCAGCTTTCAAAAATCCAACAAAATAGGAAATGTTTGATTATATTACATCTTCAGCTGGGTGGTTTACCAAAAGGAGTTTGGATCACAATTTAAAACATGATATTAGAGCTGGGGGAGAATTTAGAATCAGTTTTTATTTTAAGGCAAACCTGCCTATTATGTACTTTCCAAAACAAAATGTGAACTGAAATAGGGACACCCTTTAAAATTCACACTTCTCTGAATTTTGTGATGCATTTCTGTAGTCATAGGATTGTAGAGTTGGAAGGGACCACGGGGTCATCTAGTCCAACCCCCTGCAATGCAGGAATCTTTTGCCCAACATGGGGCTGGAACCCACGACCCTGAGATTAGGAGTCTCATGCTCTATCGACTGAGCTCTATTAAGTCTGAGCAGTACAGTGGTACCTCAGGTTACAGACGCTTCAGGTTACAGACTGCGCTAATCCAGAAATAGTACCTCGGGTTAAGAACTTTGTTTCAGGATGAGAACAGAAATCGTGTTCCGGCGGCACAGTGGCAGCAGGAGGCCCCATTAGCTAAAGTGGTACCTCAGGTTAAGAACAGTTTCAGGTTAAGAACGGACCTCCGGAACAAATTAAGTTATTAACCCGAGGTACCACTGTAATGTGTAGGAAAACGCACATACTAGTATAGAATGTGTATAAAAGTCTACATATTAGTAGAAATAACATACTAAAATGTACTATTTTATGGGGAAACAATTTGCAAATATGTGTATATTGGGCAAAACTGAATGCAACAAAAATGCATTTTATGAAAAATTCAGGCTATGAATTCATGGGGACTTTTTAAAGGGGGAAAAATGCAACCTGATGTAGAAATGTGAATTTAAGATTGAAAAGTGAGAAGTGAACAGAAATGGGAATTTACAAATTGGCCAATCCCTACATGAGATACATTATCCTGTATGGTCAGATGGGAACAGTAATCTAATCAGGGTGCAGGAATAACCACTCCCCACATTAAATGGGGGTGCACAGGCTTGGCTTCGCCCTCCCCAGGCTGGATACCTGGAGGTCTCCATCTACCTCAGCCAGTTGCCCAATCCCGCCTGGGGAGCCGTTGCTAAGGTGATCAGGCCAGGTAGGGGGAAGGACCACCTTGCCCACACAATAGGGGGAGGATCTTACCTGGGAATCGTCAGTTGGCTAAAGAGCTTCTCCCACCCTACCCACCCTCAGTTAAGACTTCTTTTGCAGGTTAACCTTTTCTCCACAGGTACGCAGGAGCTGCTACGTCAAGATCGCTGTTGAAGGGCCGGAAAGGAATTCTCCTGTGTTGGCAGGTTTGCCTTTCCCGTAGCAAAACGTCACAACTTTGGCGGTATCAGGCCTTGGGCAGAATCCTTTAGTCTATCTTCCCTAAATGGGGGTGGGCGTGTAGCGGTGACTCACGCCCCCTCTTCTCTTTGCGGCGGCGATACCAGGGTTCCCTGTTAAAGGGGTTGTTTTGAGGGGAGGCTTTGGCCGTACGCCTAGAGGTTGTCATTGCTCTCCCCTGCAATGGCGGCAAAATGGGGACGGGCTCTCTCTGCTTGAACATATGTTCTCCAGAGCCAGCCCAATCCCCACACACACTGGATAACCCTGATGTTCCCCAGATCCCCGGCGAGGGACTGGGAAGGATAAACGCCCTAGGTCTGAGCCAAGGTCTACCCACATCTGAAACATAATAAAGTTGTGGCAATTTTAATCCCATAGCACATTGTCTTGAGTCGTTATTCCACACGGGAGCAGCCCAGGGTTTGGGGGACTCCGCCTGTCCATGCAAAGAGAATCTGTGTTGCAGATCCACCAGATTGTAAGTCCTGCCCATCTCACATCAGGCAGGGCAAAAGAAGGGAGCTTCAGGGAAGATTCTGAGCTTGTATTGGTTCAAGGGCCCAGAGACCTCCAGTGGCAGGCAGGGCAAGGATCCCTGTGTTGTTGATTTCAGTGTGCCTAGCATGCTGTACAATTGCCACTGCTCCAGTCTAAAACAAAACATTTACTTGCATTATCCCCCTCAGGTACAAATGGAGCATTAGCAGGAAACTACAGCTTATGCTGGCCTGCAGCACGGTTTTAAGTTTGGATAGCAGAAAGTTACCCGAACCGAGCTTTATGAGCGAGCAGGGAAATTGAAGAACCAGTACACTTTGCATATATGACAAATGGAATGAGCATGATTCTGCCAATTGTGCTTTTAAAACTGATGAATGTCGAGTGGCAAGTGACTATTTTTGAGAAGTGTCTCTTTTCAATCATCATAAATGAAAGAACGCTCATTTTATGGTTTAAGTATATGTGAATTTGTCTGTCAAATCACCTCAGAAATTGCACTTGCAGTTAAAGGCGATGCCTTACTTCATCCAGAAGGGCAATTAATCCTCCCTAGAGCTGCAGTAAAATCTAAGATATTAGTTATTGATTTAAAGTTTGGACATAAACTTCGAAAGGTCAAACCTCAACATCCTAATCCATTACTTGCTAAAAGTGTAATATTTTCCCTTGGTGATATATTCTGTAGCATCAAACTTTTAATATATGTATATCCTAATTTTACTCACCAAGTTACGGAGTAACAGTAATTCTAAAAAAGTGTTGGATTACAGACCACATTTTTCGATTCTTAAATAGCCTATGACTCCCCATCCCTCATATAGGAATCCACCTGAAAGGCTTCTGTATTTCAACTAACCTCCCTCTGCACTCATAAATTTCTCCTATTCTTTGAGGTGCGCATTATGAACTCTCAAAGCTCTATCTGGGCCCAAGCACAACAGCTTTTGCTGACCAAGCAAATGTTGGGGCTTCCGCTGACAGGACTCATTAACTGATTCCTACAGAGTCCACCCACCCCACCCTCTGCTGAAATTAGGCCTGAAAGAATGTCTCTATTATAGTCAATAGAATAGGTTTCTCTGTGTGTTTGGTTATTTTTATTTATTAGATTTGTATACCACCCTTCATGCGCTGATTTCAGGGCAATTTACAATGCAAAAATACAAAATGAGAACACAAAATACATAACGAAGCAAAACCAAAAACAAGCCAATAGCCACTCAGCCAAAGGCCAGGTAACAGAGAAACCTTTTTGACTGGTGCCTAAAGATATGCAATGAAGACGCCAAGTGAGCCTCTCTGGGGAGAGCATTCCACAAACAGGGGGCCACTTCAGAAAAGGCCCTTTCTCATGTTGCCACCATCTGGACCTCTCACGGGAGGTGCACAAAGAAGGGCCTCCAATGATAATCTCAGGGTCTGGGTAGGTCCATGTGGTTGCAGGGTGCGCTGTGCTGACAACAATTTCTCCAGTTTGAAAAGGTTCACGTGGACCCCAAATGGCTACCAACCCCAAAGACGGTCAATGCAGGCAATGGTGCAGCTAAGTAATCTTAGGTTCTGGGCTTAATGGGGAGATATAGACAACCAAGTGTATTACTTCAGCTGCAGAGTACACAATTAACATTTCTCCATGCCCTGCTGTTTCACAACTGCTTCTACGTAGCCTAGGAGAACATAAAGGCTGACTTATAATGAGTCAGGCCTTTGGGACATCTAGCTTAGCATTGTCCGTACTGATAGGCAGTGATGCTCCAAGGTTTTGAGGAGGGGACATTCCCAGCCCTACTCGGATATGACAGGGATGGAACCCGGATATGACAGGGAGAGAGCTACAGCCCTACCCCTGATATTCTAGAGCAAGCAAACAAACCACATAACCACAAAGTTTCCAACCCTGTGTTAGGAAACTGACAAGGAGAACATGATATCACTGGAATGAAGCATCTTGTCCAGAAGCCGACAAGGAGAGGCAGGTCATTCACAGATCAGAGAAAGAGAGTGAAACGCTTGACTACCTTACAGTTAGTTTCTTTATTAAGGAAAGCATGACAAAGAACACACAGAGACTTCTAAAGGTTGCACTTGTCTGGACAAAGCAATTGCCTGGACTGGCTTGTAGCTCCTCCTTCACTCCCTAGCCCTCTGTGTCAGGCCTCTCGCTCTGTCTACGGCGAGCTCCAAGGAACCCTCTCTGGGTCTGCCTGACTCTCTGCTCGGCAACATGAAATAAACGCCTCATTCTTGTAGGGGGGCTGCAGAGAGGCTGTCAGAGTGCCTCTTTGGGAGAACTGCTAAGTCCAAATCCTGTCCCTGCCCTGTGCTGGGGCACCTGCCTGTTTCCTCCTCTTCACCAACCTTCAAGCTCCCAGCCTCCAGTACTTCCCAGCTCCTCCTCTAGGGTGTGGCTGGTTTCCCACCACCAGGATCAAAATTCTCTCCCTCTGCGCTTTCCCGGGGGGGGGGGGCTCTTGGTCAGGCAGCTTCCACCACTCCATCTCATCTAGCCAGCCCCTGACACCTTGAGGAAAAAGATACACGCCCAGCATGTGCCGTTTCCTGTTCTAAACTCACTTAAATCATAGCATAATTACCAGAAGTGAAACGGGGCCCATTTCTTCTGCCCTGATAACCAGCACAATTCCCATGGGAAGATGCACCATTGTTGAAAAGGACAAAACATATTTTTAAGGGGAAAAAATAGTAATAAAATGAGCATCTGGCATGCCCGGCTGGGTACCCCCTGGCTATAAAATGTTTCTGAAAAGGAAGGATGCTGCAGGGCCCAGCCCCATAGTATCACAGCATGCGAATGCTACCCTAGATGCCCTCTGCGTGGCTGTTCAGTGACCTCCTAAGCTGCAGGGCTCTGAAGACCTGCCCTGAGATGTATTTAGCTGCCCCACAGAAGGCAGGTAGTTCCATAGACTAGTCACCCCAATAATTTTGGTTAGAGGTAACTTTGGTTTACTTTAGACCAGATGTCCTCCTTTAGATCTACACATATATGTATAGATATAAAAACTGAAGCGAGACCTAACTAAGAGAAGCATTTGGGAAGCTAATTGCCTTGAAACAGCTGCTCTGCTCCTAGCTTCTTGCTCACCGGGGCAAAATTAATCTTCTATTGCTTGTAATAAGCTTCCCTGAATTTCTTTCTTACCCAGGCAATGAGGGAGGTGATAATTAAATAAGTTTACCCTTCCTTGGGGCACAAAGAAAACGAGAAAGTTAATAAAAGTGCATTTTTATTACTCTGTTTAATTAATTCCAGAGAGCCGATTGACTCAGAGAAGTATTAATAAAACTCTACGAGAGGCAGAAGTAAGACCCAATACACATTTCTTAGCAGTTTGATCCCAATTTCTCCTTTATGATGAAGGCGTGTTAACAGTCTCCATCAGAAAACCGGGCTTACCACTAGTAGAATAAGCCTGAAGTTTGGTAAGTGACTATCTCCTCCTTCTCTTTTCTTTAAGGATCTCTCCCGCACCGCTGAAAGGTGAGACTCCTTGAAGCATCTTTCAAAGGCTT